AAAGATGTCCTCAAGATTTTTGTGTTGTTCAAAAGATCTTGGTTTCATGACAAAACAAAAGGATTCTTTTTTTTTTTTTTTAATTAGAAGCAAACACCCATGAAAGGCATCTGGGGGTTATAATGATACATGTTTTTTTCTTAAACACAAATACATTTTGGTTCTAATTCTTATAACAAACAACAGTGACAAAACCCTGAGGTGGATATTTTTAATTCCACCTTACAGATAAAAAAATATTGAGTATGTATTAGGGATTTTTAATGATGTTTTGTTCTCTCACATAGCAAATAGCTGGCCGATTAATTATCCAGATCCAGATATGTATGACTTCAAACCCATGTCCTTTCCACGAATTTAAAAATTCAAAGACTGGTTTAATTGTATAACTGATGTAGGTTTTATAATGTCATCTTTATATTCTAATGATAGGTGCATTCCATTCTCCTGGGTGGTATTTTAATTTGTGCAAGGTAACGAGAGTTTCCACAAATTCAGTCTAGATTTTGACTCTGAAATTTTTACACTGCAGGAGTAATGGGACAAATATCTCATCCGTATATTAAGGCTTTTTGCAAACCTTGGACTGGAGTGACCAACCTAAGCAGCCACAAGAAGCTTTATCTACTGGAAATAGATGTTCTGGTACCTAGGCTGAAATTGCTAAATTCCACATCTTATTAGGAATCTGCTTGAAATTCTGTACTGTCCCAATTTTATCTTCAGAATTGAATTAATTAGCTAAAAAACATTTGCATGTGTAATTTGTTTTTTTCTTCAGATGCACCGTGATAACAAGCTATTCTTTTACATCATTAAGATGGAAACATATTATATTTTCATGCAAAGAGGAATCTGTTATTTTTGAAGTGTTTAATCCCCTTGTCTTTAAAATATTCAAAAAGTAAGTGCTTGTCAGGCAGTGGATGCCCTGGGCCTTTGGAAGTCAAACTTTCAGCTGATATGGCTGTGGATGGTTTCATCTGTAACACATGGAAGATGTTCCAGATGGAAGAATTCGCAGGAGTTACAACTTCATTAAGGTGCTCACAGAAGGCCAGTTTCCTAATTAGAAATGGTGTTGGGCATAAGAATTGAAGGAGAAAAGGCTGGAAATTATAACTGGCATTGGCCTTTATGGTGCCATTTGAAACCAAAATTTTATAGTTGATTTCTGTCTTTTGACCTTGGAGGCTCAAGAACTCATAACCATTTTTGAAAATGTATCCACCTTGATTAACCTCATTGTCTATAAAGTTATAGTCCATGAAACTGCCTCTTCTGACACTTTTTATTAGAGATTATTATGAAAATATGTTTTAAAGATGCTATTGATTTTAAAATGACAAAGAGAGGAAGTTTACCTAATTATCAAATATATATTCCCATTGTTTGGTAAATATAAGGAAATATGATTTTTATCGACTATTCCTGGGAAACTGAGTGACTTTCTCCCCTGGATTTACAGAGACACATACCACTGATTTTTATTTTAAACATCAAAAACAACCTAAGAAGGTATTTTATAGGAAGTCGTTTTTCAACTAGTCAATTGTTTTTCTTATACAGCTCTGACTCAACTCTATTTATAATTTGCTTTTTCTCCTTCATGTCAATATAATGAAAAAACAAGTAAAACAGCTCACTACTCTGTTCTGCTTTTTTTTAAGTCTAAAGTTACCATAATGGTGAGGGAGCTCAAAATCTTGGTGTCAGAAACCACAGGAGACTTAAAGAATGATCTATGTTGGGAATCTATCTCTTTTACAAGTGAACCACAGGGAACTTACTTACGTTCTCTGAGCCACAGTTTTCTCTCTTATAAAGTGCAGGTAGTAATGAAAACCTCTTTTGGATATGAGATAACATATAATGCTCCTAGTGGGCTGATCATGCACAGAAGGCATCTGTTAGTGGTGATTTTTGTGTTTAACTTGGAAAGGATGGTCCTGAGGATATAAGCTAGCTCTCTGCATATTTTAATAAATTGTATGTAGAAAAGCAGTAGTTAGGTTTGTCCTATCTACTATCCTGGGGGCAGAATTGGGATTGATTGATATAAGTCACAGGAAAATCACCTGTCTGAGTTGGAAATGCCCAGTGCTGTAGGAACTAGATTCCTTGAGTCTAAAGGTGATCAAGTGGGGTCTGTTCATCCTCAGTGTTGGCCATCATGGAGTATCAGTGAGGTAGAGGAGGCAGGATTCAACTCTGGAGATGGGGCTCAGACACTGGACCAAATTGAGGACTAGCTAAAATGGGGATGGGGCAAAAGCCCCATCATGCTCACCAGTGTACCATGGCAATGGTTGACACCCAGGAATTACTGCCCCTTCCCATGGCAATGACTCAACAACCCAAAAGTTACTACCCCTTCCCTAGAAACTTTTGCATAAACCACCAGTACCGTGTAACCTACATATAGTCAAGTATAGGCTTAAATATGACTGCAAATGTGCCCTGAACACTGCCTATGGGGTATCCCTGCTCTACAGGAACAGTCATGGAGCTGTAACACTGCTGAAGTTCTAACATTGCCCCTTCAATAAGGGTGTTTTCTTTTACCCTACTACCAGCTCACCCTTGGAGTCCTTCCTGGGTGAAGCCAGAACCCTCGCAGGCTGAGAGCCCCACTTTGGGACTTGCCTGTCCTGCACCATCAGGATTAGATGAAGATCAGACCAAATGTCCCATAAATCCCCTCTGCAACTGATGTTCTGCAGTTCTCTGATTAAACAGACCCTCTAACTGCGTAAAGATCTCATCTTGGATCAGATTCCCAAGGTCAGATATCACACTTCTGATGCCTTGTAGACTTGGCCTCCATGGATGGGCATCTCTTCCACCTTCTTATTGGCCTTTAACATCTCTTTTGCTCTTTTGTTCTCTTATGGGTCTCTTCCCAGCTCTGATGGATACCCACAGGTCTCTCAGTCTAGGGAGCCTCCACTGAAAGTTTTACTTCTTTATTTTAGTTCCCCTTCAGCTCTCCCCTCAACACCCTCATAGACCATGCCCCCTTCTCTCCCATCTTCAGACTTCCAATTCCAATAAGGACCACAAATATCTGCCTTTGGTTGGCTTCCGTTAACTCATATTTACTTTACATCTAAGAAAAGCTAACCCTGAGAAAGCTTGAATCTTGGGGCCAGTTCTTCATTCGGTTGGCTTCATTTAAGAAGTGGCATACAGAGAAAGAGTGGGCTTTGCATGCATACTGGGATTCGAGTCCTATCTGGGCTATTTACTAACTGTGGAATCTCAGGCAAGTCTCTTTACATTTCTGGGTCGGTCTCTCCTCCTCTCACAAAATTACCTACCTCTTCAAGGGCTGTGCATATTGGAGACACTTTACGTAAACTTGAACTTCATGCAAATCCCACGATGTGTTCAGCAAATGGCTGCTTCCGGCATTATCACTGTCACTTGCCTTCCTCAGCATCACCATTTGGAATGGTTTACAGTCTTCAAAAGCATTCTTTGCCCCTTCTCATTTCCCTCCGAAGCTTTTGGTGAAATTTATATGACCTGTGACATGAAGAGCTTACATCGAATTCTACCTCTTCCATGAAACCTTCCCCAATGAAGGAAGAAGCATTCCACTTAAACTAATCTCCATTTCAGATTCCTTTTTGCAAAACAGAAAATAGAACCCACTGTGACGTGAAGGGAAGGGAAGACTTATTCCTCAAATGCCTCACAGGCACACATACCCTTGCTGCTGCCTATAATTGCCTGTAAGAAGCCTTGCAGGTTTTCAAGAAGGTGACCTTTTGAGAAGAAAATGCACCGAGGGCCCACCTGAGTGAATTCTTTCTGTATGTGGTGGACACAGTGAATGGGTGTAGCAGCAGCGTGGTAGGAAAGAACAGAGGTTTGGAATGAGACAGAACAGGGTCTTACAACACACAGGTTATACGCTATCTGTGACCATGACAATTTTCCTAAACCAGGAGTCAGTAAACTTTTATAAAGGACCAAATAGTAAACATTTTTGGCTTTGTGGGCCACGTGGCTTTGCCTGTGGCCACTCAGCTTTGCCATTGTGACTTGAAAGCAGCCACAGACAATATATAAATGAGTGAGTTTGCTTGTGTTCCAAGAAAACTTTATTTACAAAATCAGAAGCTGAGCTTGATTTGCACGACATAGAGTGGTTTGTCAGCCTGCATCTGCCTTTCTCTGAGCCTCGATTTATTCATCTTCAACGTGGGGATAATAGAGTTTCATAAAGATTGAACAGGTTAATACAAGTAAAACATCTGAGCACATAGCCTGACCTCCAAAAGATTTTTAAAAAGTGACTTCTTTCCTTCCCATCCTTTTTTCCCCAAGTGCTTTTGTACAGTGAGGAGTTGGGAAAAAATGTGGGCAAAGGTCCCTCTGGCCCTGTGATTTTATGAAATTGCCCTTTGAAAAAAGAGCAAGCAAGCAAGAGCATGCCAGAGAGAGAAATTGTATGGGTATCCTTTTCTCTGCAAAGTCTGACCACAAGAAGCGTTAAATCAATCAGATGACAAAGCAGAATATAAAAAATTGAGTTGGTTTGATCTCAAGTATACAGGAGGTCTGTGCTGTTGGGATCAGAAGCAGGAAAAAAAATAAGGGAAATATTTTCAACACGTTATGTGCATTGGCTATTCTACAACTCCGACATAATTCATCACAGGAAAACTTTGAGTACAATAAACACTTCCCCTAGTTTCCTGGCTGCTCTGATCAAGAACAAAGCTATTAACATAAATGCAGATAAATACAAGGCAAATAACGATATTCCCAATTGCTTCTGTGTCAACCAGCTTAGTCCATCAATCTTGCCTGACTGGTTAAGAAGGAACCGAGACAATTTATAACCGTAGAATATTTCTTTCTAATGCATTTCCACCTCACAGAGGAGAAGGATGAATCATTCACAAAGTCCTAGGAAACGAAATGAATGTTCTTTATCTCTAGAGCTTCCCATCTCAACTACAATTTCAGTCATTGCCCCAACACCCTACCTTTCTGTGGCCGGAGCTGTTTCAATGTGATGTTTCTTTGGGCAAAGCTTGTGGCTGTCTGTGTTATTCTCAGAGCCCTCCCTCTGCACTCCTTGCAGAAAGATGTGTCCCAGGGACCTATTGGCAAGCCCATCCTGCCAGCTGCTGTGTGGGGGAGGACTTGGCAGGATTGCTGTGTCTTTAGCCCCCATCGCAATGGGTGACCAGTTCAGCTGTAGATTCTCAGTCTCCAGCTCTGTGTTCCTCTTCATATTCACTTCATTGACTTCATATCCTTGGCCACTTGTAAACAGCACGATCCCTGGTCGTCTTACTCAACTCCCTTCTCACACTCTACTAACCGCCCCCCCCCCCCAGTCATTTCATTTGCCCTCCTGGTAACAAATACCACCCATGTGCCAGTGACTCCCACATCTTGACCTCCCGCTCATGCTGCTTCTACAAAGTCCAGGGTCGTCTTTAACCTCTAGTTGTCATTGCCTCCTGAATACCCATCCGGCATGTCACTCTTAACATATCTGCAGTTCATAACTCTGCCTTGTTCTCGCTGAGTCTTTAGTACTATTCCCCACTCAGTAGCTCAAATCCGAAACTGGGCAATGCTACATGCTGCCCTTTCTCTCAGCCCTAACATCAGTAGGCATGACCTATAGATAAAGACTTCCTAAAAATCTTTCCAAAACATTTCCTCCTGGTCTATGAGATTATACTCTGGTGAAGAGGCTCATTGCCTTGTACCAGAAAAATGCCTCATTTTGGTCTCTCTGCCTCTTCTTCCTTCCTCTCTCTCTTTTCACCATTAATAATGTGATTTCCTTTGTTCTATGACTGTAGACAACATAAGTTGCATTTGCAAAAGATGCATATGGCCTGTGTGTGGAAGCTGCATGGGAATAGGCTTAGGACTGGGAGCTGGAATACATGATTTACTATCTGATACAGAACTCAGGCTTGCGGAGAGAGAGATCAGAACTAAAGAAAAGATATTTGTATTTTCAGTGTTTATGCATCAGCCTAAATAACTTAGCATATGTAAATGAACTCCTCTAACACCATTCAAGGAAAATATTATTTTCCCCAATATTTTAAGAAACACACTTGCAACTTGTTATTTTTGAGAATGTCTTTGTTAGGTTGTGACAAATCAAGGATTTAAATCTAAGGCTTCATATGTGTAAAAACCCTACCCTGTGTCCTCACTGTTCACTTCTTTGTTGAGGAAGGCAACAGGACTATTCTAATACAAACCTGGAGAGGAAACATGGTAATACTGGATACAAACAGGATACATGGCCCTGGAATAGGAACTGAAGGAGATCAGAGATTTTATTATCTGTTTTGTTCACTGATCTATTCCTAGAACCTACAGTAGTTCATTCTAAGGAGCTAGTCCTTTAGATGTTTATTGAATAAATGAATTAAATCACAGAATCCTATCAACATGGTCTTGAGAGTCACATCTCCCTAAAGAGAACTTCATCTTGTGACCTTGCCAATGTATTTCTTCCTTCCATGGGCGGAAGGAATCCATAGGGATGAGAGCAGTGGTCATTACTCAGTGACTGAGTCCCTTTCAAGACTGGCACAGGTATTGGAGTTTCCTGTACCCCTGTATATAACCTATTTTTACCTTCCTGGTAATCTTTGGAGTCTGCCCTGGGACCCTCGTTTTGCCAGAAACAATGATTCAAGCCTCAACCTCCATCTCATATCCAGCTTCATCCTCTCTATCATGGAATTCTGGATGAAGTACAAGCTCCACACCAGAAATGACACTGCTTCCGTCTCTTCTGGCCACCCCTGCATGCCATCTTGTTTTCCATCTGCCCCATAATAGCAACAACAGTAGTCAAGGAAACACTCAAAATTCCTCCCCCTCTGCCTCCTTGTCTTGCAAAATATCCTACCTTGCATATATCTCTGTATGTCTCAATGTCAATGTCAGGGTGGAAGGAAGAACAAGACTTCCATGGGTCAGGAAATGAAGATTTGATCCTGATTCTGTCTCATGACCTGTGTGAATGTTTAAAGACCATTTAATTCATCAGGGCCTGAGGTTTTTCATCTATAAGGCTAACAAGCCCCACTTAGTATTTTGCTGACTACTCAACAGGATAGCATTATGCTGTTATCAGGGAGCCTGGGGCAAAATAGGTGGTCTTTACACGCTAGTTTGCTTTCTCTGGGTTTCCACACCTTTTAAATCCACAGGAACACAGATGCACTTCCTAGTTAAGTGAACTGGCCACTCACAGTAGAATTCAAACCACTGCTCAGGGTGATTCCATGGAACTGGCTGTCACCCCACCTGTCTGAGTGGCCCCAGTCAGGCTACAAGGTGCTCTGGCCTTTGACCAGTGGCATTTGGACCTGTCTTCCTGAATGTCAGCCTCCTCACAGGTGCTGGCTCAGAGATGCCAATCACTGCTCCTTCAGCTGATCGGCATGCTGTAATGTGTGCCTGCAGAGTTGCTCCAGACAGAAGGGGAAGGATTGAGTTGACCCAACATCATCTGTCTGGCTGGATGCTCATTTTTCTTCTCCTGCCTGTCTTGTTCCTGCTCAATGTTTAAGACATGTCTCAGGGCGCTTTGCCTTGGCGTGCTCTTTCCACCCTCTCTGCCTCCTCCAGGCGGCTCTAAATGTCAGTCCTAGCTTAACGTCAGTCTCAGTGACGCACACACTCATTCACTCCATCGGTGCATCCATCCATTCCTTGTTTTCTGTTTTCTCCTTCCATAAAAAATTGCTGTGCGCCTACCATGTGCCTGGCTCTTGGGGATTTTTAGGCATGACTCTCTGTAATCAGGGTTGCCTTTCCACCCCAGAAAGAGAATCCTAGAGACCCAGTGTGTTCACAGGTTTTTACTCTGATCATCACTTGTGCAGCCGCTCCAGCTGTGGGAGTGGTGGAGAACCCAGGGCTGGTTGGGGTCAGAGGTTGGTTGTTGCTATGGCATCTGCCCTGAACTGTTGCCCAGTTCTGTTTTCAGGTTTAAAAATGTCCCTGCGGGCTGGGCACGGTGGCTCAAGCCTGTAATCCCAGCACTTTGGGAGGCCGAGGCGGGTGGATCACGAGGTCAAGAGATCAAGACCATTCTGGTTAACATGGTGAAACCCCGTCTCTACTAAAAATACAAAAAAATTAGCTGGGCATGGTGGCGCGTGCCTGTAATCCCAGCTACTCAGGAGGCTGAGGCAGGAGAATTGCCTGAACCCAGGAGGCAGAGGTTGCAGTGAGCCAAGATCGTGCCATTGCACTCCAGCCTGGGTAACAAGAGCGAAACTCCGTCTCAAAAAAAAAAAAAAGGCCCTGCATCCTTTCCTCCTATGTAACAACTCAGATGCCTTTTCGCTTCTGCGGTTCTTGTGACTTCTGTAGTCACACATCATCACCAGTGCTCTACCAGCCGTTGATCCAGACGTCTGTTCCTGTGATATTCCTAGCACAGTTGCCTGTTGGCCAAGCCTGGAGGGGCCATCCATTAAGAGTGGCTCCAGAAATTCTCCTTGGCTTTCTCTGCAGCTAGACCTTCTCCAGTCAGTTCTTTGTCACTGTGCATGGGCAGTGCCTTACCAGATAGCTTTCAACATTACATTCCAACTACAGTTTACATGTGCCTTTATGCCTTTCATGTACCTCAGAAGGACTTCCCTTACTTCCTGGATGTGCCATAAAGAAGTAGCCAGCAGTTGTCTCCTCTCTTTGCCTAGTAGTTGTGATTCCCTGTGCAGAATGTTCCAGGGAGCCTTTTCAGGATTTCTCCCTGGAAACCCTAAGGATCCTTTTGCAGAAGAGCCTCCAGGGATTTTCCTGGGTATCGCAGGATTCCAGAGATGCTTTTGCAAATGAGACTCCCTCTGTAGCCTGTTTTCTATACTACTGGGGAGCTTTCCTTCACAGTAATCAACATCTCATCTTAATTGCTTTTGTTTATGGTTCAATAAGTGCGTCCTTTTTGGCAACACCAGCTCACAGCAATATCTTCAATTACCCAAGGATGCCCACTTTCATTTATGAACTCTGCTTTGTGTCTGATGAGCACTTAGATTTTTAACCATTTATTTCCTCTGCATGACAGGGAATGAGGAACATAAAGCTGATGGGAACAGTAAAGTAGGGGGAACGTGGAGACTAGGGAACCATAAACATAGTGTGCAGTGTTCCAGGCCAATATAAAAGCAATGAGTTTTTAATATATGGTGGGTGTAATACATTCATATTCCTAATAAAGTCAATTATTGTTGAATCCACTATTTCTCAATTTTCCACCTCAGCTCAGACAAAAACAAATCTGCAGCTATTCAGAAGAAAAAAAATTATATTACAGTAATTGCAAATGCAGCAGCTGTCAAAAAAAATTGTCTAATAAGTGCCTGTTTAACACATCTACCCTCCCAGAAACTGGGGGGAACGCTGGGAACAGTGCTTGCCATCAATATAATCTGAGACAAAACTGAATCTTCGCCTTTGATTTGAGCAATTATCCTGCTTTTGGCTACTTTTCTTTTCTCTCTTTTTTTTCTAAAAAATTTCCAGTTGTCATTCTGCAGGGAGCAATGAGATGGAAAATGGTAGGTCAGTGGGGATGTGTGCGCCTCAGTGAAGTTTCAGTTTTTCATCACCTGTGTGCACCTGCCCACTTGCCTAACTTCTCCATGTCTTGGTTTCCTTATTTGTTTAATGAGGACTTGCTCCCAAACTGACTGCTCATCAGAATAATTTGTCATCTTAAATTTACTTTTAATCCTGGAAAACCATTGCTAATTGAAAAAAATTCAAAGGATATTTACTACTGCTTTTTTAAATTATAGGAGAATATTAGTTAGCTATTGATACATGACAACATTAGCACAAATTTAGTGGCTTACAACAGCCTGACTTTGTTATATCAACTTCTGTGGGTCAAGGATTTGAGTCCTCTGCTTTTTGAGCATCAGACAATATGAGAATACTAAGAGGTGGGGGTCCTGGGCCCACCCTGGAGTCTGGCCCCACAAAAAGGAACACAGGAAAGTTAAGGCATAAGAGAACATTCTCTTTTTTATCCCACTAATTTGAACCGTTTCAATTTAAAGTTTTTGGTTGGTTGGTGTTTCAGTCGCTAGAGCTGGGGTAACTGATTACCCAAACTGGGTAACATGTAATAGTAGAAAATGATTTCCTCAGTTTTGGAGGCGAGGTGTCTGCAGAGCCACATGGCCTTTACAGCTCCGGGGAAGAATTCCCCCTCCCCTCTTCTGGGAGTCTGGTGGTTCCTGGCAATCCCTGACCCTTGGCCTGTAGCTGCATAGCTTTAGGCTCTGC